CCAAAACCATTTGATTAAGGTAAATTATTAATTGAGCTGAAGTTCTGTGGCTGTCACAGAAGGAACACTCTGGTAGCGTACACTCAAGAGTCCCCACTGTAGCACTCTTCCTGCCAGTTTCTTCATAAAACTGTCGTGATAGGAAATGCCGCCTCAGCCTTTTGGCGTTACATCATGCTCTGCTTTTTTTCTCCATGTTGGTTGGAAATTGTCTTGTATGAAAGATTAAAAAATAAGGGGCATGTGCAATAGATCATATCTATATATATATATCTATATCTATACACACACACACACACGTACACACACACACACACACACACACACACACACACACATATATATTTTAATACTTGTGGACAAAATGATGTTACAAGTTGTTTGAAAACAACAAAATCACCAATGTCTTCCATTTTGAGATGTGTATAGTTCCATAAGCATTAGTGCTTCGTAGCAAACTGTAGTGCCATGTTAGGATCAGTGCATGAGCCTAGTAGTATTTTTACAATTTCAGAGAGACAAATTCTTAATGACAATAATAAACAATAATGTAATTAACAATAGAAAGGATACAGTAAAAATGTCATGAACATAAGCTAAAGATGCAGTATCCTTCCTTGCCAGTGATAGTGACGATTCTATCTTTGGAAGCAGATTTTTTTTTATTTGGTGGGTTTCATGGAAAATGTGGTTGACTTCTTGTTGCAAGTCTGTCCAAGCTATACAGTAGACCAGTGATTCTTGACAGGGGTGCCTTGGCACCCTGAGGTGCTGTGAGCCACTGGGTAACTCCTCTCCCACCCCGCCCACTCCCCTCAGGAGGAGCTAAGGATGGGCTTCAGTGTGAGGAGGTAAGATCATGAATGTCCCACTGCTCTACAGGGAGCCAAAAGCTCATTTCCTCTACGCATCCTCTCCCCATTTAAATGTTGCAATAAATAAATTATTGACTTGGGGTACCACTCTATTCCAAGAAGTTATGGAGGGATGCTAAGTTGAGAATCACTTCATTGCTGGCATCCAAACTAGTCATCTGTCAGGTTATTGGAGGTGAATCACATGGCAAATCCATGATGCTTGCTGTATTGAATGGCATGCTATCTTGTAATTTTAGAGGGAACTCTTTTAATCCTGATCAGCCATGAACTTCCTCTTCATGCACCCATTGCATACCCATTGCATCTGCCATGCCAAAAATGTGTACATCCTAAAGAGACGGCATATTTTATTAGCAGCTCTGTTACCCCTTCTTGGGTATCGTAATCTGCACTAATTATTCATCTGGGTAGTGCATTTTGCAGAACGAATAAAAAGTGACAAAGCTAATGTTTAGTTAATTATCAATATAGTTAAATTGTTTTGTGATACTGTCCACCCATTTTGTCTGAGGATGTTTGTATATATTGCTGAAAAGCCTAGACTGTGGATTTTTATAATTTTTCCAGCTATGAACTCTTGATCACACAGTAGTTTGTTTCTTTCTCTCTCTGTACAGTCGGAGAATGAGATGTTAAGTTAGGTGAAGTCTAAATAGTTTATCAAACAGGTAGCTTAAACCAGTAAAGCAAGGGACAGTGATTTGTACATGATTTTTATCTGATTTCCTGATATAGCATTTTAGTTGGTGTCAGTATTGCTTTTCAACCACCACTGTTTTGAAAAAGAACAAAACTTGGTATCAGCTTAGAGAGGGAGGATACTGCATCTTTTTTCTTGAGTCCTGCAAGTAAATGGCCACCTTGAGGAGAGAGGATGGGCATCTTGTGTTTCTGAGTTGATCTAATGTGTGTCTAAATTAATTAAATGGGAAGCATGCATGGAGATGCAAAGCGGGTGATCCTTGCAGAGGTAATTTCTGTAACAAAAACTAAATTCTGCATATTCCATGTCTCCAGATAAAATTGGCAAGCAGGCCATTTACAGCACAGCTCTGGGGATATCTGAACAAAAGTAGCTGTACCATTGAATCAAGTAGTTTAGTGCTTGGGAGAATCAATTGATGAAAAATACCTCTGAAACTGGAATGCAAATAGCACAGTATGTGGGAGGTAGGGGGGAATCCCTAATGCAAACAAAGCCATAAAATAATTTAATAAGAAAATAGAACTTTAGTAGCAATAATTATTTTGCATGTAATAGTTACTAACTTGCATTAGCAAGACTGTACAGTAGAGTAAGTAAGTGGGTATAACCAAATAAGTTTGTGGCGTTCTGTGTTGCAGGGGGTTGCACGAAAAGAAATGTTTCTTCTTAACTAGATGGGAGAATTCCTCTTACTGCTCCTATCATTGGAAAGTGTTTGGTACTTGCCCACTTTGGTGAGGAGCCTGATATAAAAACCTGGATAACTGTGTATCCTGTCTGAACTGGTGCATACTGGGGAAGAGCAAGCAGTTGTGTGTAAACAAATGGCTGATTTTTCCCCAGTTTGCTTATTTTGTTGGGTAGCATGTGTTGTGCCTCTGGAGAGGAAACCAAACCCATTCAGGTGCTGATGTGAAAAGAACTAGGTTCCATAGTCAGAAATCATGACTTTGAAGTTTTTTTTTTAATAGAAAAGGGTTCTGATATTTTTGTGGGGAGGTGGGTTGGGAGGCGTGGAGAGATACCAGGTAGTGATATCACAGGTCCCAAAATGAGAAATTATTGGGAAACACACTCCAAACCCTTAGACTGCAGGGACAAAACTACAGGATTTGTCTCTACAAATTCCTTGTCTTTCTTTTTCATTGACCTTTAGCTCTAGACCTGCTAAACACTTCCATTTTAGGCTGTGGCCATTTTCTGTTCATACTTTAAATTTTGCAAAGCCAGTTGTTTTAGGCATTCTGATAAGGCAAAGGGGAATCGATATGTAGTAAATTGTGCTTGGCATGGTTTTTACCATCTGCTAGAGAAGCATTCAAAAGAGCCCATGGAGTTTTAAAATACAGCCCACAGCTGACCCAATTTTCTTTATCAATGCATAGCTTGCAGAAGTGATACAGCTCTGCAGGTAATGCTCTATCCTGAACTGAATTATTAAACCAAAGTGTATAGTTATCCAAGTGGCTTGATTTCTTCAATCAGGATTGAATATTTTATACCACAATCTTTAATCTAGGGGTGTCTACAATTTGCTTCGTTTTTAGTAAGTTAAATAGAGGCTTTTGACTTCTCACTAGTTGATAACATGACCCCTGTTGGGACTAAGTGTGGGTCTCTCCAGTCTCATTTAATGTAACCAAGATGCATCCAAGATGAATGTAAGAATATATAAGTAGGTGCTAGCAAGTAGTACATACCTAGTATTAGTCTTGCATATGAAAATATCAGTGATTTTGAAACATGGTAACAATTCCAGCCATTAAATTATTGTCAAAATTAGCAGACCAAAAGGAGATACCAACTTGATCATGTTCTCTACGTAGTATAGTGTTATACCAGTCTTTATAAATTTAAGGAAAGGATTGGGAAGTAGACTGTCATAATAATGAAGACACTAATTTCACTTCTCAGAAATGTACTTCACTTGACTGGGTATTATTATTCTGCCGTTTCAATGAAAAGGGTAGGCAGGGGGTGAGTGAATGAACATCTGCTTATTGCTGCCAGTTCAGCCTTTCTGATGTGCTGTGTTCCAGGGACTAGTAGAGTACAGGTCCAAAGATTTCTCACAGCACCCATTCCTGAAATCCTGCTGGGCTAAGGCTGCAGAGCTGTGATGTGATTTCCCCCCCCCCCCCCCACTTTCATTGCTTACAAAACTAAGCAGAAATTTCAGACAATACCCAGTTTATTTCAAGATATCAAACAAGTAACATCCATGCTAATACCAACCTTTTTAGCGGGATCAAGTCTATTTTGTAAGTGTGTAGACTGCTTTCTGGTCCAGTAGGGCTGATGAAGAAGTTCTAGCTAGTACTGTGCTGTGAACTGCAACTATTGTTGGAGATGCTTATCAGTTAAGAACCTTCTCAGCACTAAGGAATCTTTGCAATACAATTTTCTTGAGCAGAGAGCAGTGGCACAAGGTTCAGGAGATAGATGCTTTAAATAGGATTTACCTTGATTGCAGCATTGGTAGGGTATTTTGTGGGATCTTTTGGAGGTATTTTTGAGTTGTTAAGGGAAAGCTGGACTTCTGACAGAATCTGGCACCATTCTTAAAACCTTTACTTTCAGTAACTTCTGTCAACCAGAGATGGAGACTGGTTGAGTTTTTCTTCAAAGCCTGCTGATAGAGTCTTTACTCAAACAGAAGGCTATATGATGGGCAGTTCAAAGTTAACTCTTTGTTCTGATGGTTCAGGATACCACTTCCACAGTACTCCCGAGACTAAAGCACAAAGAGCCAGCAATGGAACTTAGTTATCTTGTTCTATGCTGCTACTATCCATAGACTTCCCTGACACGCACACAGTTTCCTTCACTTCTCTTTGCATTTCCTCCCGATTCATGTCTTTAGAAAAAAATGTATGTAAGCAAAGGAAACATCACTTCTCTTACATACCAAGTCACAGTACAGTTGGATTTTCTGAGGCTTGCCCATTATCTTTGGTAATCACGTTTTAACTTTCTCTTACTTGTGTCCTATGTAAATTCTGCTCTCTCCCCAAACTAAGTATGTGTTTGCAGGTCAACTAAAAGAGGGCTGGTTTGTGAAGCCAGATGCATAGTGAGCTGCATGGACAAGCTGAAGAGTGGCAGCACAGGCCCACAAACCAAGTCTTAGAGCTAGTATTCTACTTATGCATGATTCAAAATGTTTAGTGTTATGTAGTTATTACCAGTAAATTGAGATATGCATTTATACATAATGAAGCAATAGGAACTAATATACCAATAGCTTGAACTTACTGCTTTGATTCTCAAATTTTGTTCTTAGAGAATGCACTGCCTCTGTAGAGAAAGAGGCAGAATGTACAAATAGGGACAGAAGCATGGCACCAAAACTGCATATCAGGAACAAGGATCAGCAGAACTCGCCTTTTTAACCTCTTACCTGGTTCACACTAATGCCCTGAGCATGTAAAAAAGCAGGGCCTGAACCGAGCGTGTTTAGTGGCGAGGTGAGGTTTCTCAGCTGCTGCAGTTGTAGCAAACAGAAGGGTGCAGAGTTTCTCACAGGGTGTTGGGAGGGCAAAAGTAGAATTAAGTTGGTCAACTTAAAGAACTGACCTCAAAGTTAAGCGACTGTAGAATTTGCCAGACAATAGGTGCAAGAGGTCTCGGCCTGATATGGTAAATTCTTTGGAGGTGATTAAAATCAATAAGCACAGTGCACATATTTCAGGTGTTGAATAGCTTTTTAATAGACAGTATTTTCAGGTAACTCTTTAGCCACATAGGCAGCTGTACTGAAGCATACTGGTATCAACCAGCAATAATGGCATCCTGCAGGAATGAACCTGAAAATATTGGCAAATTTGTGTATTTTAAGTTTTGACCAAGATTTTTTTACGGTTCTAAAATGAGGTTGGCTCAAGGTGGGGTGATGAGTGTCCTAATCTTCAACAACAGATTATAGTCTGGTCAGTCATAATGTCATTCGTTAAAAAAAAAAAATGTAGTGATCTCTAGCTTCCTAACATAAGGGAAATTGGGTGCCATCTGTTTGTTCACTATGTTCTCTGCAAAGAGTATTTCTCCCAAGTCACTTTGTGGGTGGTGTGGAGATTTTCTGTTGAGAATGAAAAAGTCATGATAGCTGTAGCAGAATCCAGAACTAATAATGTTCCTAAGCTTTTTAGTTCATTTTGCAGTATTTCTCACTTTGTTTATAGCTCCATCTAACCTTGTGGGAGGATTTAACTTGTGCAAGAATCCCTCCATGGAACTGAGGTTTCCTCCTCTTTCCTCACAAAAACTGGGGCAGGAGGAATGGATTCCAGGTCAGATTTATGTTTGCCTGCACCCTTAGCTGGCATAATGCAAGTCTCCACAACACCCCTTTAATGCAGGGTTGGTGAGGGAACCTTCTTTTTCTCATTGTCACTTTGTTTATAGATGCACAGTAGTTGCCAAATGAAGGTAGGAATATTAAGGGATGACTTGGATATTTTACAGTATCTGAAGATGGATGAAGTATATCCTTTGAGCCAACTTCTGTAGGCAAAAAGTGATTATTAAAACATGTTAAGCCAGTGGTTGACCGTGCCACTATAACCTTTAGGACTTTTCAGTTTTAAATTCTGTTTTAGTATATTGTTTTAATGGAAAGGTAAGAAGTTGAGTATGTACTTAAACTTGCTTATTTCCTTTCTAAACAAAAGGGAGGAATAGGCTACTCAAGGACTTCAATGCAAATATATTTTGTGAGGAGCAGAAATTTCGAAGTTTGGCCTTCAGCTCTAATGTCAATGGGATAACATAGAATCCTTGAAAGAAAATTTAAATTTATCCCAAGGCTTAGAAACCAGGTTAGAGAGGATTTCCTGTACTGAACTTTTGATGGTATACTCACATTTCTACTGTACTCAACTGCCAAGTGCAGGAAATATCAGTGGAGGAATTTAGTGGTAACACTGGAAACCATTTACTCCCATTGCACGGTGTATTTTACATGGTAAGAGTAAAATAATTTCTCCCTCTGTGTACTGAAGTTTTCCAAAAGGCAGCTTGTTTTTTATATCTATGCATCTTTGGGATTTCAAGAAGAATCTATTCTTTTTGACATTGTATAGAGGAACTGTTTCAAATGAACTTGGAAACTCTGCACCTGTAAACAAATTTTTTTAGCAATAAAGCAGCACGGGCTGAGAATGCACTAAAACCTAATTGTGTCATTTGTTAATGTGGCTAACTTCTTTGTATAAGCAAGGCACCATCTGTTGGAGTGCCTGGTGCTTACCACTGTAAGATCTTGTTCAGTTGCTTATAACTTTGCTGGACTTCAACCACTTAGACTGAATTTGCATGCTGAATGTCTGTTCCAGGCCAAGCTATTTTGGAAAAGTTCAGTCAAAACAAGTATTTTCCAAGACCCACGCTAGGGAAGACTTATTTGAAAAGCTTTGCTGTCTTCTTTTAGGGTTGGAGCTTTTGTCATCCCTGTGAACATGTGGCCAAAGTTATAAGCCTTTGGAAATAAGTTTCTACCTCTGGTCTGTTGCAGGCTGTCTGGTACAGATCCAGACATCTTGTCTTAGAAAAGGAAGCCTGTCCTCTGTGCTCACTCCCAATACCTTTTACATTCCTCAGCTCTGGGCCAAGACAGGATGGAGGAGGTTGTCCATACAAAAGAAATAAGAGCTAGAGCAATGTGGTATAGGGGAACAGACTAGGAATTTGGACAGAGAGGAATATTGAGAGCTGAAGGGCCACTGGAACTGAGAACAGTGGTAAATGGAAGAGGGATCTGAAGAGTGATGAGAACTGGAAATGACTAAAGAGAATAGGTTAGGGAAGAGCTAGGATTAAGATAGGGCAGAGGTGCTCACCCCCCAGTCCACAAGGCAGATGTGACCCCTGGCACTGTGTCATCTGGCCCACTGGGCTTATCATAGGTATGGAAATTTGGCAGCTGTAGCTTTCCTGCTGCCAAACTTCCAGATGTGTGTGGGGCCTCAGGCCCAGTGTGCTAGATCACGTGCCTGATCCTGGCATATGTGGGTGGTGTAGGCTACCAGAGCCTCTAGCAGGTGTGGCTTGGTGAGCTGGCATTGGGCCCCCAGGCATGATCTTGGTGCACAGAGCTTGATCTGGTCCAAAAACCAGCCCTGTGGAGCAAAAAGCTTGAACACCACTGGAATAGGACAAAGGGGGGGGGCATATTTGGAGAAATGGTCAGAAATCTCTTAATTAGAGCATACCAACTCTGAGCCTCTGGTGCAGTGGAACCAGATTGTGGGGTCTCCATTCCTGTGTCAGATGTTTGAACCAGTCCCCTATAGCAGTGGTTTTCAACCTTTTTGGGTTATTGTACCCCCAGCAGCTGGTCAAGAAAGCACGAGTCCTGCAGCAGACCGGGGTGGGGTGGGGGTGTTCCCCCAGCAGCCAGTCAATGAGCAGGGGGCAGTGTCCTCCACAGCCAATTGGCAAACGTACCATGGCAGCAGAAGTACCAACAGTGGCACCCACTGCCAAGTACCCACTAAGGCCCTCAGAAGTATCCCCAGTTGAAAACCCCTGCCCTACAGAGTGGCCAGCATAAAAGATGACAATCTACTACTGTTTGCTATTGCCCTCTTAAGTAGAGGTCTGTGTAACAGATTGCTAGGTTTCAACCTTGCTGGTGGCCAAGACATTGAACAAAGTCATTGATCTATTATGTTCACTGAACGAGGCATTGGTGTTGTACAATTTGTATGTGTGTATAACTGAATGTTATCTGTTCACTAGGGGGCCAAATTAAGGTTGTGCTAGAACTAATTCTGGTATTTTTTAAGTGTTTGTCTTATTAGTTTTCTTTTATTACAGTTGGTATATGTTTATTAAATACACAAGAAAAAATGACTTGCCAGTTAGGAAGATTAATGGTAGCATTATTTGTGCATCTAAATACCCATGCTTATGTTTGCTGCATGCTAAGCTAACAGGTAAGTCAGCAATTTTGCAGGCCAGGTTTATTCATATAATTTACATGCCACTACACTCTTCTGCTCATTTTTGTCTTCAGGGGTAGAACAATTTGGCACCAAGGATGAAAGGCAGTCCACTTAATGGAAATGTGAACACCTGTTGGCTGCCTTTCAGAAGTGATTTCAAGCAGCTGCAGGTGCTGAGCACCTCTAAAAAATGCCATCATCCAATATTATTCCAAATAGTTAGAGGTATTAGCCTTATTAGATTAAGAGTTTTCAGGACAGCCTTACCAAAACTTTTTAAAAACTCTTGCAGACTAAAAGCATTTTTCAGAGGTTTTCTCTATGTAAGTAGTAGTTCTGTGTATATTGTATATTTAGAAAAAAAAATTCCTTCATCTATCCATTACTATTGCACTAGAAAACCTAACAGACTAAACTTATTAAGAGTAAGATGTAGGATTATAGGATAGTAGAATTGAAAAGAACCTTACAAAATATCAAGTCCAGCATCTGGCTGTAGTCAGGATCATCCCTGACTGCTATCCCTGTGAAGTGAACTTTGGCACACAAAAGCTTGTGCTATGTGTATATCTCTACTTTGGTTAGTTTATAAGGTGAAAATCTACCTGGCTTTCTACTAAACCATCCCAGCCAAGTATCTATCTAACCTGCTTTTCAAAATTTTGGAGGATGGAGATTCCACAGCTTCTCTAGGTAGCCTGTTCCAATGCTTGACCACCCTCACAGTCAGTTCTTTCTAATCTTGTTTAATTTTCCTCTGCTGCTAGTTGGGGCCATTGCTCCTAGTTCTGTCCCCCCCAGCCACAGAGAGGTCAGGTCTATCCTTTCCATAATCTTCCTCCAGGTACTTGAAGACTTATCAAAATCTCTCTATCAACTAAATAATCCTATTTCTTTCAGCCTTTCCTCATAAATCATTAAGACTCTCCACTAATCCTGAGATTTCAAAGGGCCACAGATTACTGCTGTATGTGTCCGAGTGCCTTTGAAATTGGATTTAGATGCCTTGCTGTCACAGTAGAACTCAGCCTGAGTTAGGGGCCCAGGTTCCATATCCAATGCCTGAGGAAAGTTTGGCAGCTGAGAATGGGATCTACAATAGCCAGCATGCTCAGTAGGGCACTGCCAAAGCTACCCAATTGGAAATGTTGAGGATCTCTCTTATCTCCTGCCTGCCACACTGGGCCCCAGGGAAATGCTTTCTGCAGCCCAGGATTCACAGGCTTGAACCCTCTCCTGGAATTAGACATCCAAGCTTTTTCTTTCAGAAACCAGAGGCATCAGGCCTTTCTTTCAAACCAAGATAGATGATGGGTATGGTGGTGCTGATGCCTTCTCTTTTACCAGCAGCTCTGTGACAACAGCATTTGAGCAAGGTGAGGGATTTGGCTTACCACCTCCACCCAAGCAGATATGAAACCATGTCTCCTATCTGCTAGGAGACACCATAAGCACCAGGCTGTAGGATATTTTTGCTGGGTCTTTGCTTTCAGTGAAAGCTGTCCCACTTTCAGGTAGTGATTATATAGTCACTGATCCAGAGACCACAGGGAGAGGGGGAAAAGGAAGAAGCTCAGCTTGTGGCAAAGGTACTCACCTGAGAGAATGGAGTCTTATGTTCTAGTTCCTGCTCCACTCAATATGCAAAAGAGAGCTAGACCACACAATGAAGAGTACAACTGATTGTTCGGCAGGACCCTTTGTTACAGAAGATCAAATTCTGCGCTAGTTCTCGAAAGATTAATTCCACAAACAAGACATGAGATGTTATTCACCAGTTGTAAAGTAAAAAAAAAAGCAGATGAGAAGGTTGAAATTTGACACCAGTGTTTGCTACAAAATAGCTTTAAATAAAATCAACATTAAGTGCCCTCTTTAGGTCAAGTCACCATCTTAGTAACAGTTCATCCATCTCTAAACTATTGTCACACTGTCTGTAGACTCAGGCAGGTGACACTGCATTCATTTTACATCAGTTTGACAAGTGAAAGATTTCTTAACAAGTTTAAGTTTTAATCCCTGTTCCCCCCATCTATGTGAAAAATTTCAAGCATCATATTAGTTATGGAATACAGCAGGATTTAATAGTATTACTAGGTCTCATCTGCACTTGAGCTGGACAGAGATGCTGGATGACCAAATCCCAGGAAGATTAATGTATAGTTTGCAATTAGTAGAAAGTAGTTGTCTTATGCTATTTACCACATGTTGACATGCAGCTCAAAAAAAATCAAAGTCCCAAGCCCATGTGCTACTTATTCCAGTGGTAAGAAATAGAGAGGTAGCTAGCTGGAAATGTAAAAGTTGGCAAAGGTACACTGTTAACATAACACTTAAAGGCCTAGTCATGGCCACCTCGAACCTACTTGATGTACTTATAACAAACCGGCATAACTAACAGCTTGTCTTTGTCACTGACAGAAACAAGCAGTAGGAATGGTTTAACCTACCCTTTGAAGGGAAAAGGAGGATGGGGTGGGTTGATTCAGAAACACAAATACTTGGTCTTAAGCAGGATGTAAACATAAAGTCCATGGGAGATAACTGGAGTTACTGTAAGGAAAGAAAGGGCAAAAATAAGCAGCCCCATAATTCAGTGTTTGAGAGTGATGTTGAATGCTGTAGTGAAGGCTGAACGAGTAATGAATTTAAATGAAGTTTGATCACTGAGATCATATTATTCCAGGTGACCTTTGTGCAAGTCTCCCAGTGCCATCAATAGATCAAGTAAGACCTATTCATATCACCTAATATCAAGGGTGATATTAGTCCTAAATACATAGCCAGGCTAGCTAAACAGGGTCCAGCCATCTCCACAGACCAAGCAACTTTCAAGTTGGTTCCTTATTACAGTAAATCTCTGGATCTTTCATGAACAAATCAAAGCTGTTTAAAGTATTTTAATTAAAAGAACTGTCTAGTCAGGAAGGCTCCAGCTGCAGCACTTAGAGCAAAAGTGATGTCTATTACAAGACAATTTAAGTTATCATACAAAATGTCATTTTTTCAAATAAATAATTAGTCTTGATTTCATTTTCAACTATTAATTCAGCTGCCACTGAGAAATACTCTCATAACTTCAACGTGAGTTCCTCCTAAGGTTGTGCAATGTAGTTATCCATCTTACAACAACAACAACAAAAAAAAAACTATGCTAGGTAATATACAAGACTAATATGCCCTCCTTGCATTTGATGGCATCTTAAAACAGAGCTTTTAATATTCTAGGTTATTCTCAGCTATTTGGCTTAACCAGCATAAACAGTCCAAGAGGCTTCAAGTAGTAGTTAAGAAATTTATGTCCTGCTTTTCTGGTTATGTTGATCCAAGCCACCATTGTGATGACTCATATGGGGCTTTTTGCCAAGTCACAGCCCACCTCATTTAGAAGTTTGCATATTCATTGGGTATTTTTGAGAAGTCTAAAATAATTGAAAAAAAAAAAAAAAAGGGCAGGGATTACCCACATCAGCAACTCAAATTAGAAACAATGTGGGTTGGCAGTCCTTTGCACAGGGCAAGAAAGGGGAATTTGCTCATTACTAGAATTAAACGCAGCAAATACTTCCCACGCTGCACCCAACACATTTCAGGGAGCTACTGAATTCACTAAAGTATACCTTTGAGGAGAAGAAAGCATTTGCAATCTTTCCGGTGAATGAGGGAAGACGATAAATAAGAAATACTGCTCATAAATCAATGACAAAGTCATAGGACCCTCTTCTTTCTATCCTGCAAAAAATGCCACCTTCTTCCATGTCTGATTAATTTTTAAATGCTTTAAGAGGAGCAGAACCCATTCAAGCCTATCAAGGAAATATCTAGACCAACCCCCAACTGTTATGAGCAATTTATCTACATGAAGAGGTGGTGTAGACTTTTAGGCACCTGTCAAAATACATTTTATAACAGCAGATCTTGAATAGGACCAGCTGTTCATGTTTTTAACTAACAGTCTCAAGACCCTAAAGTCAGCTTTCAAAGGCTGTTTTTTGTGAAGTGGCTAAGACTTAGGAAGAACCACAGTATCAACTGTAGTATTTCAAAAGCTGGAAGTTCTACATGGACACAAGTATGAGTTTCTCACTGCGCAAGATCCAGTGAATTTCCGTAGTCTTAGATACATTTCAGGATCAGTTCTTTCTACACAGGGACTAAGTAACACAATAGTTTTCCCTGACATTCACAGGCATATTTCAGACTTTTCTTCATTACAATGAAACCAATCAGACTGTTTTCTTCATTACATGCACCAATACACAAATGGCTCCAGCAGTCTGGTAAAATGGCATATTAATTGTTTGACTTGATTCGTGCACGCTCTGGCTTTAAGCAAGCTGTCCTTGATGAGCATCCCTGCTTATCTGCCATATTCTGCCAGTTCAGTTCTTCTAGTCTCCTTATCAGGATTTCTAGGCGTACATGGATAATCACAAGTTGTTCCTTCAGCTATGGAAAAAGAAGGTGAGTACTATTAAAGGGAGAAAAAGAACCTTACACTACCTGTGATTCTTCAAGATGTCTTGTCCACAGGGATTCCACTCTTGGTAACTAACAAGCAACTGGCAGATTGCCTGAAAATAGCAAGAGACGTCCTAAACTAGTGACTGCAACTTTGCAAAAAATGACACCCAGTCTGAGCCTGAACTAGGGAGTAGCTAATGTTAAGTGTAGGGACAGCACCCACACTGGAAAATGTGGAAAATGCTGTGTTATAAAGCAGAAAGCCAAAGATGACTGTGGCCTAATATAACTGGGAAAATCCTTTTTAGTTAAATTCACAGCAAGCTCTTATACAGGCCAAGAACCCCCTTGACAATCTCTGGATGGAAACAAGTTGTCCTCTCACCCTTTCAGGAGATGTACCAGTGTACTACACATAAAATGATACTCACATTAGATGTGATGGAAAGTTTTCTTTCATCCAAGGCAGAGTATTTGGAGGGGAAGCAGGGGAGAGGAAACAAGGAGTCAAACTCATTTTATACAAAAAGTCTGAAACTACCTTGGGCAAAAACTTAAATGAAAGACAAACATGATGGTCCTTTGAAGGATCATGTATGGATGGCCCACCAAGAGAGAACAATGGCATACCCATGCCATTGTTGCCGCAGCTACATAGGAAAGTTATCATCCCCAGCAGCAGCATCTTCATGAATACTGTGCTGCTGCGAGAAGGCTGCCTCCTAACCCAGAAGCAACGTGACCACAGCCGATTAGCAATTGAGCGACAATGGTTGACTAATCACTTCCTACCCTTTCATCAAGAAGAGGCTTTAATACTGTACGTGTATTGCCACATGGTTCATTGCCATAAATTGCTGCGGTTCAGATATGGTAAGTACCTATACCCCTGGAGCCATTCTCTCATTTTACCACTGAGATCAAATCTGCTATGAATATGGCTAGGGATCAATGAGCTCTTAACTGAAAAGGAATAGTCAGTGTTGATTTAAAAAAGGAGAAACTACAGTAGAAAATTCATGTCACTCCTCCCTCTCCCCTCCCCTGAAAAAAGAAAGAAAGGGGAGGGGAAGAAATTTGTTGAAAGGCAACTCAGAAAGTCAGAGTGGTATTTCAGCTCTGGGATACTGAAGGCATGTAAATGAGCTTAAGTCTTGCCTTCCTCACTTTCTAAAAAACATACAGAGGAAGATTTTTACACAGAGCAATGAATCAAGGACATCTCTCCCCTAGGCAAGTCAGGCATCTAGAACAGGGGTGGGCAAGTATTTTGGCCAGAGGGCCACTTGGGGAGTTTCAGTGAGCTGTTGTGGGCCAGGTCAGCACCCTGCCCCCCTGCCCATAACAGTTCACCATAGCTCCCTACACGGCCGCTGCACTCAGCTGGGTGGATGGGATGGCGCCGTGAGCAGGTGGGAAGCAGCATCCAGGAGTGGGTAGGTCCACAGGGCCAGGATCATGGGACAGTGACAGTGTGGGACTGGGGCCTGGGGCAAAGCTGAGATCTGCTCCCCCCACATCCCTGTAACAGGTGCCATTTCTGCGGGCAGGGGCATGCAGGGAGCAGACTACAGCTCTACCTTGGCCCCAGCCCCTCATTGTCACCGCCCTGTGATCCCTGGGTCTCTATGGAGGCTGGCTGGAACCCATGTAGGCAGGGTGGATGGGATGGGGCTGCAAGTGGGTGGGGAGCAGGGGCTGAGGACTGGGATCATGGGGCAATAATTGCCCTAGGCCCCAGCCCTGTGCTGAGTTGCAATCTGTTCCCTGTATGCCCCTGCCTGAAGAACCAGCATCCAGAGGGACATGTGGGCAGTGGGTTGCGGCTCTGCCCCAGGCCCTGGCCATGTACCGTCACCACCCTGCAATCCCAATCCCTGGCCGCCTGTCCTGCTCCCAGCCCCATCCCATCCGCCCAGCCTGCCCACACAGGTCCTGAGTTGGTCTCCATGGAGACCCTGCCTGCCCGCTCTGTCCCTCACCCCCAGTGGTGGGCATGGGGCACATGGACTGGGGTGCTTGGATAGTAGGGATGGTTTTGGTAGTGGCAGCAGAGACTAGCAGCAACAGCTGGAAGGAGCTGCCACTGCCAGGAAGTAAGTCTTGCCATTGCATCGCCCTAGCCCTGCAGTGCACCTAGGAGCAGCAGGACTGGCTGCTTGCACCAAGGCCTGGGCTGCCCCCTACACCTGGGTCAAGGGACCTGCTGTGGGCTGGACAACATCCCATGGCAGGAGCCTATGGGGAGCTCTGTGGGCTGGATAGCATGGCACTTTCTGCTGGATAGGGCAAAGTGGGATCTAGGCAGTGACTCCATGGATCCAACCTGAGGGGCCAAAAGGAACCCCTGAACTAGTTTCCAAAAAAACCCGCCTCCAGTATAACATTTTTCAGTACTGCTTCAAATAATTGCATGCAGCTTGCATTTCATCCCCACTTTGTATACAAAATCATGAAGATACTTTACTTTTGACAGTTTTCTGTTTAGGTTCAAAGCAGGAAAGGTCATCTCCGAGCCATCTATTGTGGTTTTAGTTGTTAAGAAGTAACTGAAAAAACAAATCAAAAGAAACAGGTCAAAGAGCAGAAATTACAAAAGCATGTTGTTGTCCCCCAGTGTGGATGCTTTCACTCAGGAGAAAAGTGGTCTCAGTTTGCTGTAGCTTACTTGCATTATTTACCCTTGCCCCCTTCCAAATCAATGTGAAATTAGAAATAAACTTGGGGGAGTTAAAGCCATTAACTGTGAGACTGGAGTGCACTAACCAGAGGATGCAGTCTTTGAAGAGACAAAAGAAGCCTCGCAGATAAGCCAGGTCACTGGAGCTAGAATAAAGATTGAAGCCCAGGATGACTCCACATGAACGACAATACAACGCATTGTAAGTGCTGAAAGGAGAGAGGATAAAAAAGAAAGTTTTACTAGGCTAAGAGATTTCCAAAGCTAGCATGGGCATTGCTTGCTAGTCACAAGACACTGGATCCTGAGCTAGATTATGACACCTAAACAAATTATGTAATATTACTTCTGCATGCATGCAATCAGGGAAATGGTCACAAAGGCTATGAATCCTCAAAAACATAACCTCTAATCCAACAAAATCATCACTACTGTAAGTGCAGTCCCCACTCAAAAATTTTGGAACCTGCAATTAAGATTAGGAGGAGAATATTACACCCAGCCTTTAAAACAATAGAAATTTCAGAATACCAAATTGCTAGTGAAATTAGAGGTGCACCGATACATTGGTCCGATATCAGATTGGCACTGATAAAAGAAGACTAGCAAGTTGCCCATCAAGAATGACAGGCGGGGATGAAGCCCCGTGTCCGTGCCCCCACTTCTCCCTGCTGCTTGGGATCCATGCCCGTTCTCCCCACCTCTGCCATGTCAGGACTGCTCCTCCCCTCCTCCCACTGAGTGTTTATGGCCCCACCCCCACTTCTCGTGTGGCACTGTTCCCCCTGCTCCCCCTTACCCCCCTCACCACATCGTGTCCAGGCCCATTTCTCCCCCCTTGGCCCCCTGCTGCCTGGGGGGGGGGGGGGGGGAAGAGCGAACT